ATACAAATGAATGAACACTTTATTTACAAAAACAGGCAGTTGGCTGGGGTTTGTCAACTCCTGACCTAGGAGGACAGGAAACTGGACAAGAGTAGATTATAAAGGGCCCTCATGGTTTTATTTTTAGAGCCTTTAACCATCCTGGTCATCCTCTTTAGGGCATTTTTCTTTTTATCGGGATTTTACTGGGACCCATAACCTGAGTAATGCCAACTACATAGGCTGATCTTGAAGATCCTCTTTTAATCAATATAAGAGGGTAAAAGAGGCTCAGTTTTATCCTTTAAGTAGCTTCCTTTAAACTAAGACAACAGAAAAACTATTTGGGAGAGTTTCTACACACAAATGATTAACATTCTTGACACTTAAATGAACTAAGTTTTTGTTATTTAGAAAATTAATTAAAGTTCACCATTTAGGGTTTCTTCTCTCTCCATCCTTGTCAGCCACACATTTAATGTACTGTACTGCTAGTGGAGAGAGATGTTCCTGACCTTGCAACCTCAGGACCTGCTGGTTGTTAATTCATAGTAGAATGTATTAGTCCTAGTCTCTGTGCTCCCCAATATGGCAGCCCTGCATAATAGAGGGGATTGGGACCAGGTGGACATACACAGGACAAAAGTATCATGGAGTTAACTAATTTGGCACATGGCAGAGCCTGTTATCTCTTGGCTAATTTCTCAGACTCTGATTTAGAGATAGACTCTTTCCCTCTGTCTGGAGTTCCATATAGATTTTTATAAAACAACTGATAATATTAGCAATAAAAGGGTAGAACTGAGTAGAGCAATTTTGAGAGATCTTGGCTGTTTTTCTTTGGTTTTAGTGTGAACATAAGTTTTTAAGGAACTCTAAACATCCTTTATATCATATGTTAGGATCCTAATTATAGACTTTTCTTTCATGAGGAAACATATCTTGATTAGAAGTGGAGACTTGGGCACATAAATTATGTATTTTAAATACAAAATACTATCACTTTTAAAACATGTTTCACTTAATTTTATTTCATATTTTAATTAAATCATAATTAAAAAAGGTATACTGCTATCTTGATTTTTTAGATTTCTGCATAACTTTTAGATGCATTTGCTTAAGATTATCAATTCTATAGCACCGTTTACATAGTAACTATCAAAAAAAAAAGGAAAAAAAGCTTTAAAGAAGGGTTACAAGTGCTTCTTTATTCCCTGAAGAACTTTAAAGCTCAGAGAGATGCCTACACAGCCAAGATAGTTTATAAAGCACCTCTTTGGAAGCACCATACTAAACCAGTTGTTCTTTGGGTGTGAGCTGGGGGGACCCCCTTCACAGCTCTGCAATGTAGAGGTTTAATTAAAAAATTAAGTACATATATTTACTTTATATATAAAAATAAAAATATATATTCACTAATATATTTTGGGAACATTTTATGTTAGGAGAAGCAAGATAACTAACAGTCATTGATGTAGACTTCTACATTCTTGGACTATTTAATTTATCCAAGTGAAATTAATTATAAACAGTTTACCTAACATTGCTAGGCCAGAAAAAAAAAAAGATTAATGTAAAACTGTCAGAGAGTAATTTAAGAGCCTTATTTCATGGTCTGCTTTGAAAAAAAATCTCGGTAATGTATAATTAAAAGCTATTCATATGATTTTCAGTGTTTGAGAAATGTTATGAATGTAAATGAAAAGTCTGTTTCCTTTATAAATGGAGTAATAAAAATGTTGGTTCTACTCTTTCAAATGGGGTAAAGTGAAACTTGGAAAGGGTTCCCTTAGGAAAAGCTTCAAGGATGACAACTGACAACTTTTGCGATACAATGTGAAACAGCACAATTCTATCTATGAGAACATGGCTGTATTATCCTGACTTAAAAAAATTACTTTTTCTAAAAGACCTAGAAAAAACATCATGCAAAAACTGCTATCATGGGAATGAAAAAAGAGGATGAAAGAGTCACCTTTCATGAAAGCACTTTTGCAATAATGTAAAGCTGTTCATTATAAACTCAGGGTATTCAGGCAAATTTTTATGAATGACTATATAATAGATGCATTTCTTTAAAAATTAAATCTTGAATAGAAATTCATAAAATTATTAATTTTGTTACTTCACAGAAAATCCAAATGACAAAATAAAACAATGATGGGCTGATATATTACATATTCAATTGTATGTACCTATTTCCAAAACAAAATACTAAATTTCTTCCAGAAAATTTTAGAAAACAAACAATATTAAACAATAATTATAGAACAGGACATCCTCATTTTCTCAAATTTCCCCAAAGAGAGAAGAAAACTATGAAAAATTTGAGATAGAAAATTTTATCCTTTGATAACTGGAGAAAGGCTCAAGAAGTCCCCACAGTGAAAGGTGCATATGAGAGAAAGTGCAAGAGTAAAGGCAGATTGCCTGGTGCCCCTGTACTAGTCTCAGACACCAGGCTAGGGCATCACAGAGCTGTAGACATCATGCAAGGACTCCTACTGTCTGTACAAGTGAGAAAATGCAAGTTTAGGAATAGCATGCCTTTGGTTCTCCTCCCTTGTAAAATTATTTGTGTTCGTATAACACTGTTGTTGAATAAACCCATCCTATACAAACTCTGTGTGATACTGTGTCTTACCAGCACCTGTTGGGAGCAGGGATGGAGGAAGAAATGGCAGACACATGGAATTTATACCTGTTATTGTTCTCAAATGCTTTCTTAATATATTGTATTGCATAGCTAATTTCTGATGAAAGGAAAATACAATATTATACATTTACATAATTGATGAAGTAAGGGGTTTATTACTTTCATATACTTGATTCCTTAAGCTTTCAGACTAATGTGGGGAGATCACCAATATTTTATTTTTTTGACCTGAGAGAAATGATGTATTAATCATTTACAATCCACACATGTTATTGGTCATACCGCTGAGCAAGGCTGTGAAATTCACAAACAATAAAGATGTAAAAAAAAAAAATGAGAATAAGCAAGTTCTTTTTTTTTTTTTTTAAGATTTATTTATACAAGAACTGGGATACAGGTCAGAGGCACGGGAAGGTGATAGAATTCACCAGAGAGAGCAGGGAGCAGAACAGTCAGACGGACTGTGCACTGGATAATATTTATTGAAACTCTTTTGTCAAGTGGAGGGCATATTTTATGTTGCTTTATTTCAACCTTGGGGTAACTTTATAAAACCTCTGCAAGATGAAAATGAAGCACGCTGGTTACTATCACAGTGGGGATACTTAGGTGACAAAAACACTCATGCTACCCTATAGGATTTCAGGTTTAGAGATGCTAAAGAACTGGACTAAAGGGAACAGTCATGCGGAAGAAGGACTAGGGTGCTGCTACCCCGAGACTGTACGCTCTCTTTAGTCCTCCCACATGTCACTGCACTTAAACAGGGAGTTTCTTAGGCAGAAAAAGGAAGAAAAGGAAGAAAAGGACCCATCATATGAAGGCACAACCAGAGTTTTCTGGTAGGTGGGAAACCTGTGCACAAGGCCCCAGTACCTGGGGTCAGTGACTTATCTTAACCTTTTATACACCTAAAGTTTTCAACAGCCTGAGTCATTTTCCCCTAAAATATTCTTTAGGGTAAATAATATGAAAACTTTTCATAGGGTCTGGCATATAGAGGCTCAACTAACTATATACAGACATCAAATGTCACATTAATACATTTTTTAATACACTTGACACACATATACCCATGAGCACACACAAACATTTACTTCTAATTCTGCCTAGGTATCCAAGGGTGAAATTTAGAAAGTTTTAAGCTTACCTTACACGATTTGAACTACTGATGTCTACCCAAGCATTTGTATAGACAAAATAGCAGCATCAAAACAATACAACTGTTGCTCTTAACGGTAGCAGCTGATAAAAGTTTTCTCAAGCACATCCGAGGAGATGACAGTTGCCTTGTTAGGCTGCCCAGGCCTGAAACACTCATATGTATGCTGCCAGTGAACTTAACTCCTGACTTTCAAACCTGAACAAAGTCTGTTTCTTACATAATTATTGATTCACATTTGGTTTCATGATTTCACTCCTCTGTACATCCTGTAGATGTGTAGTTATGTCACTGAAGTTGAAAAAGTCATAAAGTCTCAAAGAACAAGGTCTGTGTGTCCTTTGAGATACACAGAAAAATAAAATTGTGTTAAAATAGACTTTTGCCCACAAAATATGCTAAAAACAAATAGAGAATAAAGACAATTTAGGTTTTGAAACAACAGTTCCATTAATCATTTAATGATTAAGCTAGAGATGATATCAAATACATGGAATTGGTTGGGGAATCTCTGACTAGGTTTTCTTGGAAATCTAAAGTGTAACGTCAGCATGAACTTGTGCATTGCAGCCTTTTGATATTACCATAGCAAAACAATTCTGTAAATGAATTAAAAATTATACCTGCAAAATTTACTAATGTGATTATTCTGACCAGACTCAACAGATCTGGAACTCTGAAGTACAATGGGTCAACCAAGTAAGAATATTTAAATGCTTGGCTTTTATAGAAAGTGAACAGTGCCCAGAGTTTTTATGGACAATAGTATTTGGAGGTAACTGCTACCAAAAGCATACCCATGCCATGAGTTAGAGCTATGGAGGGCTGGCACGGAATCTCTGGCTGATGAGGCATTACATTGATCTGGCCTACCAAGCCCTGGCCACCATGCCCTTAGCCAGCACATGCTCCTCTGCAGCCTCAAGTGATGTTCAGCCCAGAGAGTGCTCTTTACTTCCTTTTCGTGCTTCTTCTGGCAAGCGGAGTATGTCTATCTGCTCCTTCCCAACGAATCAAATTATAAATGTTATCAGTAATTGAGGGTTCTTCTTGTGAAATGACTGTATCAAAATAAGCATTTTATTCCCCATAATTTCACTACACAACAGGAAAGGTAAACAGAATCCTTTGCAAACACCTGCAGTAGTTGACCACTCTCAACACAGAGGAGGCAATGAGCCATTGCCACAAAATTTATCTTACCTGAGAGTCTGGAACACTTTCAGCTTCTGTCACAGGTCCATGTTTGTCACTGTTTTCCTCATTTTGCTCAAGTGCTTAAAAAAAAAAAGAACAACATTACGCAAATGCAGCAAACATAAGAAAACTTCAGATCTTTTCCGTTCAGATAGCAATCTGTACATACATCATTTATTAAATCAATGGCTGTGAAAAAACTTGATCTTAATTCTACTCTTTATCTAAACCCATCTAGGCATCACCATGTCAACACTGTGTTTCCCCCATGAGGGAACAGGGATACAGATGAAGACTCATTTAAGTTCATGTGAGAATGTCATATTTTGTTTAAATTAATGTGTTTTTTTTTAGGTCTGATAGCTCAGTGTTATATAATAAAGGAAGCACAATATTTTATTTATCAATTGCTCAATGCATTTTTACCATAAAAGTCTAAACTATACAGTCCTGATGTCACCTTTTCTCTCATTTTCCCCTAGTAGCTCCCTGCTAAGTCCACATTACCCTTTCTGCATTGGTGTAATAATCTCCTAATGCAAAGCCTTTGATTCTAGTTTCTTTATAATATGATCCACCTTTGGCATAACTGCTAAAATAGTTTCAAAAAATAAAAAATAAAACAACATGTCATGCTTTGGCCTATATATCACTTATCGTCTTAACTATTCATAACTGAAGGTTTTCCTTGAATTCTCTTGCTCTTTCCTAATCTCCAGTTTCACACTGACATTCAACAAAAAAAGGTAATGTACTCAACTCTGATCCAAGTACAACGATCTAGTTATTTTTCTTTTTCTACAGTTTGTTCTTTAAACAAATATCTGTTGAGTATCTACCATGTGCCTGGCACTGGAGTTATTTCTGTGAAAAAGACAGATAAGCCCCCGAACTCATGAAGTATATACACTAGCTGGGGAGACAGCCAAAGAACAAGAACAACTACATCTATGATTACTAAAAACAAAAAAAAAATTAAAAATAAGATGAAATTTAAGGTCATGAAATGACAGAAAACCTACTGGGGGAGGAGAGGTCAGGAATGCTGATTCTCTGAAGAATTACTATTTGGGTTGACAGTGAAAGGTTGAGATGGAGTCATCCGTGCAGGTGAGAATGGAACAGGATAAGCCAGGAGAGAGGAAAGAAGACTGGAAATTCAGCGATTAGCCTAATAACATGGGGTAGCACTGAAAAATTTTTAAATTGGAAATTGTATGATTTGATGTATATTTTCAAAAGTTCTTTATGGCTTCTTTGTGAAGAACAGATTTAAAAAAAAAAAAAAAGCATGAGCAGAAGCAGGGAGTCCAGAGATAATAGCTCAGACCAGGAAGGTGGCTATGAGCTGAAGCACATGGTAGATTTGAGCTGTATTTCTAGACAACATGAACACAAGAGGAAGAGAAGGGAGATGGGGAGAAGAACAATTAAGTCATTTATTATATCCATCATACATTTATTCTTTGTGCTCTCTCCATCAAAAGCATACAACCTCATTGATAATTAGCTCACTCATTCTACTTCTGGATTCAGAGTACATTGTTTTGTGTAATTTTAAACATGTGTTTTCTGTTCTGAATTTTTAAAAAATATCAGTTTCATGTACTTTTTGCCTTTGCATGCCTTTTATATCTACTGTGTGGTGTTTACCCTGGAGTCCACTAAAAACACTGTGTAGAGTTTATGAGCTCTATAAAAAATAAGAGGGATGAAGTGACCAAAATGGCATGATTTGACCAGTCCCACTTACATAAGTTACTTCTTTCATGACTATTTAATACAAAGTGGGGGGAGGGGCAGAGGGGTAACTAGGATAACTCTTGCCAGCTTAGCATCTGAAGGCAAGGCAAGAAGAATGGGAGTGGGCTGAAGCTTTTCTTCTATCTCAGCAAAAATTTCCATTCATGCTTGTTCAAAGGGGGATCCCCTGTTGCTACTGTTGCCTGACTAGGAAGAAACTTAAGAATAAAGAAAAACATTCGTGGTCTCTCTAAAAAACTAGAGATAAAGAATGCAAGGGGGAAAATACCAGATAACATTCTAGATTCTACTTCAAAATGCAATGTGCCATAGAAGTAAGAAATTCCATTTATTGAAATAATATAAGTCATTTTCCTCCATCCTGTAATGGCAAGTAATTTTCTTCAAAGGCAATTTTGGGATGTCCAATGAGGCTTAACTTTTGTCACGTGAAGTTAACAGTCATATCATAGTACTTAATTTATGCTATATTGGACCTTTTTTTATTTTTGTAGATATTTTTAACTTTTTTTTATGGATTTACCTTTGGTTTATAATACTGTGAGTTCAAGAGCAACAGCTTTATACCCTGATATGTGTAAATATTGCCCCACACCCACCACCATATTTCATTTGAGACCATTCACCATTTCAGCTTTATTTCAGTTTTGCACTTTAAAGTTTTTAGCTTCAATTACAATAAAGATAATTACATTTTGGAATATTCTTGTCAATAGGTTCATGTTTTTGTTTTTGAAATAATAGCATTTTGGGATATAAGCATTTCTTTTTCTTATCTTAACATAGAATGTGCAGGATTGAGAGCTAACACTATGTTTTTGAGATTTAGGCAAATTCTTAATACAGAGAAATAGATTCAGAGGAGGAAGAAATTAGAATAAAAGCAAACTTGGGGGAAATTTAATTCTATATTTCTAGCAAAATGCTACAATTCTTTTTTTTTAAATTATGTATATATATATATATATATATATATATATATATTTACATCATTGTTCCTTTTTAAACAATGTTTGCTTTTTTCCCCCCTCAGCTGTAGTCCCCATAGTCCTCCACCAATTCACCCGTGCACCATCACCACAGTGCCCTGTGCTCCTCTCTCCCTCCCTCCCTCTGATCCCTCTCCCTCCTCCTCCCCTGCAGGTGTCTCCGGTTTATAACTGTTTTTGCTTTGTTTTGTATTGTTATTATCCCCCACCCCCACCCCGCTGATGTCTTCTTCGGTTCCCCTATACTGGAATTATGCTCAGTGAAATAACTCAAAAGATAAAAGAAAAATATCGGATGGTTTCACTTACAGGAACAATGCTACAATTCTTGCTACATCTTTAAAGACCTCAAGATTCCTGGCCTGGAGTTACATACATTTTAGTTAACAGAGTGAGAATTAGAAACACAAGCAAGTTAAGGGACTTGGCAAAGGTAACTCAGCAATCTACTCATTGTGCATAATGGAGACACTCAAAGTTCTGGGAGACTCGACCTCAGCACCCTGATGATGAAGACAAGAATATGGTTTCCTCCGACACATACATAACAATTTTCTTGGAAATACTGAAAAACTGCAATAGTAAGAATGCATTTGAGCCAGTGGTTTATATATATAACACAGGAATAAAAATATTTATTCTAGAATTCCAAGGATTTATGACCTTCCCATGAAGTTACATGCAGGAAATATATAGTTCGTCACTTGAAAGGGAGCAGTATATTGACCCTTTAATATGAAGATCAAGTGTCAAAGAATAAATAAGGAGTCAATTTCTCTGTTCATGCCCCCTAGTCAACAGGTCATGTGTTGGAAGGATGAGGAAGCAGTTATTTACATTTTGGGGCTTAATTTTCCTTTTATCTGATCAGAATAAGAGTAGGTTAGGGAAAGTTTCCTATGCAAATATTGATTCTGGGACAGTTCCCTTCTGTGAAACACGTACACAGGAATGACAGCCTCTGGGACCGAGGGAGGCTAGGAGCCTCCCTCTGCCAACACAAACCATCCCCTTATCTCTCAACACACAGAGCCTAAAAGTAAGAAAAGTCCTTTGAAAATAATTTACGACAACAAGAATCACAAGCACAAGATCTAAAGCATATATTTTGAATAGTAAACATGAGAGCCACATGAGAACAAGAGTATATGAGGATTAATTAGCACTAATTCACATTAGAGTACTTAGTTTAAATGTATCTAATTGTAAGCTAGCCAGGGGCGACTGGAGATGAGTGACTGCTGGCAGCCCCAAGGGATTTTGCCTGACCGTACTTTCTGGTTGCCTTGGGGACAACAGGTTCCCTCTCCCCTCAACTTACTAGGGGGGTTGCTGAGAAAACTCTCCTAAAAACTCTAAATATATCACTATTTAAACACAAACAGGATTGATGTCCTTTGAAAATGATGTTTATTTCATTTCTGCTGGTCAGTTTTGGGAAGGCACACAAACAAAACATTGCACACACAGTGATCATAATGCACTGCAGAAGGCTGAGTTGACAGTGGTCTTTAAAAATCAATCGAACTATTTTTTTTATGAATTACACTACCAACCAAAAAAGTTGCTGTGAACAGAAATGTAACATTTTGAGTCTCAGGGCAAGAAATCAGCAAATACAGCTAAAAACAATCCATCTTGAGTACTTTGCCAAGAATGAACGTTTTGGCAATACTAGAATCTTTTACCTGGGCAGTGCTTCTACAGAGAAGAAGCTCTTTAGTAAAGGGTCTCATCTGATGTTCGTACAACCTGTTTTATAGATGAAGTTAAGTTACCTGTCCAAATCTCTCCTTATAAAATACATGTATCTGAGGCAGCTCAATTCTGCCTCAGACAAGGATGGAGCAGTACAGCGAGTGCTGACAAAAAGTATACATGGGCAAATCCACTCACATGAATCCTGAGCGGTATTACTTTCCATTTTAAAAAATGAAGCAGAACAGAATACAATGGAAGGAAAAATTAAAGATCAAAATGCATTGCAACAGCAAAAGTATTTTCACAAATGTGGATGAGAGTGTACCAGGTCGGGCTCTTTTGTGTGTTCTATGGATTGTGGACACAAAAATGCTAGGAAAACATTGAGGTGATTCCAGGCAACAGGAGGCAGAGCCCAGTTCTTCATTATCTAAATAATGGGTTATTTTTTTGTACCATTCCTGGAGAGGAGCCACAACATTTATTTTAGGAGGCCACTCAACACCGCTCTATCCACCTTCAGCAAGGAGCACATTCCCTGTGAGGTGGCGTGGAAAGGAGCAGGCAGCCGCAAATGCTGACAGAGTGTATTCATTTTTAGTTACCAATATATAATCACAAATATT